GGACTGGATTAAAAAAATGTGGTACATATACACGATGGAATACTACGCAGCCATAAAAAAGAACAAAATCATGAATTTCGCTGCAACCTGGATGGAACTAGAGTCTATAATACTGAGTGACCTCTCACAAAAACAAAAATCCGAATATCACATGTTCTCACTCATATAATGGACCTTGAACATCCAATGCAATACTATGAGAAAATGACAGATGGTACTGCGAAACTATGGGGGGGAGGGGGATGGGATTAACAGTAGCAAATATCTGTCGGGGGATGGGAAAACACTTCTTATCTACAGGGTGCCTGAATGAAACGTCATTGTACACCTAACCCTTAACTGTACCCCACAAAACCATAATAAAAAATACTGATTAATGAAGAAAAAAAAAAAATCAACTTTAAAGTTCATGAATAGAGGCTGGTCACATAATTACATCCAGGGTGTAATACTATGTGGTCATAGTATTCATATCTGATTGAAGAGAAATTTTAAGGGATTTGTGAACATGATCATAATATGTGTTGAAGTTAAAAATCAGATTTATAATATGCATCAAATCATATTGACCATATTAAGTGTTTCTAGCGATGAGGGAAGGAAGGAAATACATCAAAATATTAACACAAGTTATCTTTGGGAGGTGGGAATTCTAGACTCTATAATCTAGAGGATTATTTTCTTCATTGTGCCTCTCTGGATATTCCAAATTTTCTACAATAAATAAATATTACTTTTCACCTGGAAAAAAGTTATTAAAAATTAAGTTACTACATATTATAATCGAGAAAGTCAACTATAGATGTATATCTGAAACAAATTAAGTTTTATGCCCAAATATCAAATCCCTCATAACTCTTAAGTTACTCGGGGTCTATTGAAATGACCGGTTCAACATCATAAGAGATTTGTGTTACTCATGAGATGAAGACAGGGACTATGGGACTATGAATCATGCCCTAGAAAGAGTGACAAGTGAGTCGCTAAGACAAGAGGAACAACTGGAGATGGCATTTACAAACTCTTAAATTTTCAAGAAGCTGCATGACACCACCATCACAATTATCACATGCATGATATCAAAGGGAAACGTGTTATACACATGGTTTTTCCAGACAATAACACTTCTTTAACATTGCTTTGACAGCTTAGATATGAAATTTCTGCCAGCAGCCATTATCTGTGAGTATAATCTTAAATTTTAACCCACCACTATTATTGCTCTCCAATTTTCTTCCAAGACAAAGAGTACTTGGCAAATGTGTGTTACAGGAAACCTATTGAAGAGATAAATGCAAAACAAGTCCCTGGATGCTAAAGTGAAAATGTTTGCATGTCACTTGTCTTTCTGTGCCTGTAAAACTTATCCATGATTGGCTAGTCTGATTCTTTTGGAATATTTCTGTAAGGGACATACCTGCTGTGTCAATCCTCAAGACCTTGAAAAGCAAGAAGTCAGCCTTCTCCTTTGAAAGCCGCATGTGCAGATTTCGGGTGACTTCAGCAGCTTTGAGAACCCTGAAAGGTGGCCCACTTTGTACATAAAACACAATCATGGTGCTACAGAGGAAACAATGAGAGAAGACAGTCACATGGTCAAATGGTGACCAACATGACATGTTCACCAAAGCATCTGGCCTGTGAAGTTGGGGAGGTAGACTGCTACAGCTGTGTGGCTTGGCAAGGACACAAGGGCATATCTGGAGGATGAGGAATTGATCTGCTTCTATTAATAAATAAAGACTCTTTAGTCTCAGAGGACACCTGATCAAAGACAAACCTACAATAAAAGGAGTGATTATATAAGTTTTGTATCAATTTTTAAAAATCCCTAGCCAAAGGGGTTTGGAAAGCTATTGGGTTGATGAACTGGAATGAACCTATTAGCTGGAAAGATGGTTATAACCAAAACTCCACAAGGTAGAAGCTCAGGACTCTTCCAGACCTTGCCCTATGTACCTCTTCAACTGGCTGTTCATCTGTGTCCTTTAGCGTATCCTTTGTAATAAATCCATAATAGTAAGTTTTTTAAAAAGAGCAATGTGTACATGTGTGCAAACAGATACAACAATACACAAAATGATAACTTTCAGACATGTCTTCCTTTTTATCTTTTGTAGTGAGATGTATTTTACATACCATAAAATTTAACCCTTCTAAAGTAAAATCCAATGGCTTTTAGTATATTCACAAAGTTGTACAACTACCAACATTATCTAATTCCAGAACATTTCATCACCCCCAAAAGACAACCTATACCCGTTAGCAGCTATTCCTCATTCCCCTCTCCCAACAGTCCCCCTCTCCCGACAGTCCCTGGTAACCACTAATCTAGTTTTTAATCTCTATGGATTTGACTATTCCGGACACTATATAAGTGGAGTAATATAATATGTGACCTTTTGTGTCTGATTTCTTTCATTTAGCCAAGTGATTTCAAAGTTCACACATGTTGTAGCATGTGTCAATATTTCATTCCTTTTTACTGTCAAATAATATTATACACATGTATGATATGAATATATCACATTTTTATCCATTCATCAGTTGATTGACATTGGAGTTATTCCTACATTCTGGCTATTATGAATACATGCTGTTAACATTCAGACACAAGTGCATATGTGGACATAAGTTTTCCATTTCTCCTGGGTATATACCTAGGAGTGGAATTAATGGGTAGTATTGCCATACTCTATGATTAGCATTTTGAGGAAGCGCCAAGCTGTTTTTCATATTGGTTATGCTATTTTACATGCCCACCAGCAATGTATAAGTGTTCCAGTTTGTCCATATATTCCCCAACACTTGCTATAACCTGCTTTTTCAATTATAGCAGTCCTAGTGGATACAAAGAGGTATCACAATGTGGTTTTGATTTGAATTTCCCTGACAACTAATGATGATGAGCATCTTTTCATGTGTTTGTTGGCCATTTGTATATATTTTATCTGGAGAAATGTCTATTCAAATCAGTATTAGTTTCCCATGGATGCTGTAAAAAAGGATCATTGACTAGTGGCTTAAAACAACAGAAATCTCTTCTCACAGTTTTGATGTCTAGAAGTCCAAAATCTAAGTGTCAGCAGGGCCATTCTGTCTCTGAAAACTCTATGGGAGAATCTGTATCTTGCTTTTCTTTTAGTTTCTGACATTGCCAGCAATCCTTGGTATTCCTTGGCTTGTAAATGCATCACTCCCATCTCTGCGTCTGCCATACATGGTGTTCTTCTTGTGTTCCTGTGTATTTCTTATCCTCTTCTTATAAGAACACCAGTCATATTGGATTAAGAGCCCACCCTACTCCAGGATGACTTCATCTTAACTAATTACATCTGAAATGACCCTATTTCCAAATAAGGTCACATTCACAAATACCAGGAGTCAGGATTTGAATGTATCTTTCTGTGGAGACAATTCAACCCACAACAAGGACTTCTATCATAAAAGAGTGTTAGATTTTGTTCAATGTTTTTTCTGTTCCTATTAAGATGATCATGTGTTTTTGTCCTCTATTCTATTAATGTGGTATATTACATTTATTTATTTTCATATGTTGAACCATATTTACATTCCTGAGATAAATTCCACTTGATTATGGTATGTAATTCTTTTAATATGTCACTGGATTCAGTTTGATAGCATTTTGTTGTAGGCATTTGATTCTGTATTCACAAAGGATATTGGTCTATAGTTTTTTTTCTTGTGATATCTTTGATTTTTGTGTCAGGGTAAAACTGGCCTCACAGCACAAGTTGGAAAATGTTCCCTTCTATTTTCTGGAAAAGTTTGTAAAAATAGAAAATAAAAAACATGTGCTAATTTTTTTAAAGTTTTGCAGACCAAGGACCAGTGAAGTCATTTGATCCTGGGTCTTGTGGGAAGTTTTTAAGTTACTGATTCATTCTCTTTACTTGTTATAGGTCTATTCAGATTTTTTATTTTTTTCTCAAGTAAGTTTTTGCCTTGTCTTGTTTTGTTTTGTTTTGACTCTTTTGAGTCAGGGTACCACTCTGTAGCCTAGACTGGAGGGCAGTGGCACAATCATAGCTTACTGCAGCCTTGAACTTCTAGTCTCAAGTGATGCTCCCGGCTCAGCCTCCCAAGTAACTGGAACTATAGGCTTATGCCACCACACTCGGCTAATTTTCATTTTTTGTAGTGGCAAGATCTCACTATATTGCCCCTGCTGGTCTTGAACTCCTATGGTCAAGTAATCCTCTTATCATGGCCTCTCAAAATGCTGGGATTACAGGCATGGGCCTGTGTGCCAGCCCCAAGTAAGATTTTATATCTGTGTTTTTCTAGGAATTCGTCCATTTCATCTAATTTGTCGACATATAATTATTCACAGTATTCTTTTATAATCCTTTTTATTTTTGTAAAGTCAGTAGTAGTGTCTCTTATTTTCTTACTGATTTTAGTAATTTGAGTCTTCTCTCTTTTTTCTTGGTCAATCTAGCTAAAGGTTTATCAATTTTGTTAATCTGCCCAATAAACAACCTTCGGTTTTGTTGATTTTCAGATATGTCTTTGATTTAGTATTTGATATTTTATAAGTAAAGGAAATCTATGATTCATTTTAGAAAGAGTTCCATAAAAAATACTTAGAGTATGTTTTAGTTTGGTATTTTTCTAAGTAAACTTCAGTTCATTGGAAAACTAACCAAGGTAGAAGTGCAGACAATAGCTGGAAAGTGGAGTTGCTATGAATGGTAGGTTTTCATTCTCATAATTTTTATCTCTCTCTTCCCACTGAAATCTAGGTTGAGTAAGAGTTTAAAAATAAAAAAATTAAATACAAAAATCTGATTAAAATAAAGCCTCATATACTCCCAGGAGACCACGGATGGTAATTTTCATGTCGAGAGACGATTCATTCCCCATGAATGTGGGCGGGGAAGAAGTCTGCCAGTGAAACATCCTATTCCCATGCCCCTGGCCATTTGCCTCTGAAGGCACTAGAGCTAACAACCAGCTCTCTCTCTGCTGTTTCTTAACTCCTTCACTCAGAACAGTCTCAGTCAACAAACATTTACTGAGCCTTGTAGGAAGGACCTAGAATAATGCTGTCCTTACTTCTGTCCTTAGAGGAAAAAAAAGTACATGAATGGGATAAAAGTATGTACAAAAATACAGAACAGACAGAGGAATGAGCAGCTTTCTGCTGGAATGGGGTGAGGAAAGAACTGGAACCTTGTAGGGTCCTGGCCCTGCCTCAGTGTGCAGCTCATACCTGAGATCCGAGTGGGCCTGGATCTTCTGGACCTTAATGTCCGAGTCCAGCACGTTCAGCAGCAGAGCCAGCTGCCTTACAAGGGTGTCCTTTCGCTGCTCTGTCAGCTGCCCGACGCCAACCTGCAGGGTCAGCTCCACCAGGCCAGTCTTTTTGGGGTCTAGGAAAAAGAAGATATGGGATTTCCACTCAGAGAGCACTGCCTGACGATATATGGAGCGAAGACTCAGTAAGAGTTTAAAATTATTCTACCATTTCTACATTTGGGTTTAGGATTCAATTTAGATAAATTCTTCTAAGCATCACAGTGGCCATTATCTGGAAGTAGTTTTTTTTGTTTTATCACAGTTTGTTGTCAATTTGTGGGGGGGGGGGGTGAGGGGAGTCCCAGAAGACAATCAGTTGTATCTAATTAGCCTCTGGGCTAACTTGAAATTTTGGTCCTTCACACACTTCCCCAGGACCAAAAAGATAACTTTGTTTCCAAGATAACTGCTGGGTCCAGTTTACACTGGGGTTGTTACCGCCACCTCACTGGAGCTGCCAACTCTCAATGCTCCCATACTGAAGCCCTTGTCCACTTTACTTTAGGTCTTCTGGCAGGAAAACAAGAGTGAAAAGAAACTCTTGTTGCCAGAAACTTTTCTCTCCTTAATAAGTTATGAGAGAAATCCTCAAAGTGGGCCCAGCCAAGTGCTAGAGCCAGCTACAGGAGACCTCCCACCCTAGGTCACACTTGTTAACTGCAAAGATCCCAAAGGCTGACCAGCCAGACTATGTGGGCCTATCCTGAGCCCAGGAACGCACCTGGCTGCACTTCCACAATGGCAGTGTCCGTATCCGAAGTTCCCTGACTGTCAGTAACTTGCAAGTGGAAAGTATACACTCCCTCCACCAGATTTGTAAGCTGCAGGGCCACGCCATGGTCAGAGTCATCGATGACATCCTAAAATTAACAGAGAAGTTGTCAATCCTCCATTCCCAATTTCTGGGCTTCTGTCAATTCCATCTTTTTAACACATGTATAACCTCAAGGGGGAGGCTGAAGAGGAATGAGGCTAGTAGGTTGGATGAGAGTAATCCTTAGCACCTCTTCCCTGAAAAGCATCAGGGGGCACAAACTCCTCCGAGAGTATGTGCAGAGCTGAGTTAATAAGCACTTCTAGGTATTACCAAATGATAATTTTTATACAACAGAGGGAAAGGCTATTTGAATTAGGGTAAGGACTCCAAGGACAGAATATGGGTTTTCTGGGACTTACTTTCAAACATAGTTTTACAATACTTTCATCTTGAGTTCCCTCACAGTGTATCACATTAACCTAGTCAAGTGACACAAAAGCCTGTGTAGAAACATCTCTGTTCTGTGAGCCTCAAAGCTCCAAAGAATTATAGAAGAAACTTCCAGACCCCTGCTAACAGAAGGGATGGTAGCTTCCTAACGGAAGAGAATGGTAACAAAAAACGAGTGCTCTGAGCAGAGACCCATTACAGTTACACTTAAAAGCTAATCCACCATCTAGCGGAACAGTAATATTTCTAGAAGTGCTTTAGAAAGTTTAATGCATTTTAAATTATTTCCCTGTGACTACGCCTTTGGTGTATCTCCAAAAGAATTTGTACCTCTTCAGTCCTTAGCAACTGCAGGAATGAAGTTGTACCTACATTTATAGCCTAAGAGAGGGAGGAAATGCCTTCCAGGAGCTAAAAACCTGGGTTTGTCTGGTTTGATTAGGAATTAGTTTGGTTAAGTTACTTTTCATCTCTGCATTTCACTTTTTGCACCTATGAAATGTAGATAACAATACTTGACCTTTTGACATATCTAGTACAATATGAGGAAGAAGAAAGAATCCCTTGAGCCAAAATAGGAATGTCAGGGAAGCTAAGGAGCTGAATGACTCTTGCTGGAAGACTTGGCTTCAAAGTCCTTCCAGGTTACAGTTTCCTGCTCCATCCAAAGTCTGGTCAGAAAAAGGTCAGAAAGAACCTCAGCTTTTGTTTAAATCTAACAGCAGCCTGCTGCCTCCAGCCCACAGCCCTAGAAGACTCTAATGTAGAACCAATAAGCACCTTGTAGGAAAGGTATAAAGGGTTGAGGTCATAATAAAGACACTGCTATAGGGTGAATTGTGTCCCTCTCAGATTCATGTGTTGAAGCTCTAACCCCAATATGGTTGTAACTAGAAACAGGACCCATAAGGAGGTATTTGAGGTTAAATGAGATCATAAGGGTGGGGCCAGATCTGATACAACTGGTGTCATTATAAGAAGAGACACCAGAACACAAAATCTCTCTCTCTCCCAGCCATGTGAGGACACAGTGAGAAGATGGCTGTCTGCAAGTCAGGAAGAGAACCTCACCAAAAACTGAACTTGTCAGCACCTTGATCCTGTCTTCTCAGCCTTCAGAACAGTGAGAAAATAAATTCCCGTTGTTTAAGCCTCCCAGTCTGGTATTTTCTTGTGGTGGCCTAAGCTGACCAGCTAATACAGATGTAATGACAAGTAGTCTAGAAGCAATTCTCTTTCAGTACTCACCCCAGCTGCTGGACTCTGGCCATCCCGGATCCACAGATAGGACACAATTCCTTGGTCATCCGTAGACCTTGAACCATCCAAAGTAATGGAATTATTGGGAAGCACAAGAACATGTCTGCCACCGGCCTGGGCTCTTGGAGGACTATTATTTTCTAAGTCAAATATAGCAAAAATGAAAGCAAAGAGATTGATTTAAAACACTGGTGAGAGAAGAAGTGTGTCATAAAACTCTTCCACCTTGCAGATAAAGTATGTAGATTTAAAACATCAAAAAAACCATTATTTTCTGTCCCCAAATCTTTGTAAGATAACATATAGACTTTGTCCAAGCTCTGTTTGTGCTTAGCTAGTTACAATTTGAGATGAAAACGGTAAAGCAGGTGGCAGGCTATACATTAGAAATTTTTAAAATACTTGTTACGGTTTTTCTTTCACTGAAAAAGAGAAATAATGATCTTACATTTAAGGTCCTGAAAGTGAAAATATTTTATTTAAAATATAGTCTGGAACATTTTGTACTTGTCCACACTATCTGGCCAGAGAAATATTTCATTTTCTAGTATTGACAAATCTTGACTGCCTAAGATTTTTAAAAAATTTGTGTAAATAAGTCGGGCTCGGTGGCTCAGCCTGTAATCCCACGCCTTTGGGAGGCTGAGGTGAGTGGATTGCCTGAGCCTGCGGGTTCGAGACCCACCTGAGCAGCGAGACCTCATCTCTACCTACAATAAATCAAAAAATCAGCCGGGCGTGGTAGCGCATGCCTATAATTCCGGCTACTCGGAAGTCTGAGGCAGAAGGATCGCCAGGGCCCAGCAGGCGAGGCTGCGGTGGCCAGGAGCAGCCACTGCACTCCAGTCTGGGCGACCGAGTGAGACTCCAACTCAAAAAATAAAAAATAAATAAAATTTGTGTAAATAATAATTAGACCCTACTTCTCTGACGAGGTGTTAAGTATAAATAAAGTAATGTAAGAGCCATTTCTGATGTAATAGCCATAAGGAAGAGGGGTCAGAGAGCACCTAGCAAGCCTGGGGTATCAGTGGGGAGACCATAAGACACAACTGTAGTTTGGAGACGAGGCTGCTGTGAGCCAAAGGCCACATGTTCAGATGGGGCTCTGAGACTTAACCTGAAATTGCTCGACTTTCCCTAAAAACAAGTCAAGCAACAGAAAACAGAGGTGAGGACAGCCAGACCCCTAAGGGAGTTATCAATCATTCCCAGGTCATCAGCCATCTCCATCCTGAGAAATGACACCAGAGACTAGAGCCAGAGACTTGGTGCCATTACTAGCTTTTCCATTTCATTCACCACACTCCATTTGGAGTGAGGTGGGGAGTCTGGAGTTAAGAGGGCTTAATTCCATTGGGAATATAGGGGAAAGCTAGAAAAAAATAGAAATATACTGGCAGTAAACTGAGTTAGCCCAAAACTCATTTTGCTAAAATCAATATCTAGACTCTATCTAGGTTTACAGTTGGAACCTAGAACAGTCACTCTCCTTTTATGCTTATGTCCCCACACTCTTGAACTCCAGTCACAATGCTCCCCTAAGCACCGCATCCAGACAGTCCATTACCACAACCTCAATATCCAAATCTAAAATTAATTCCCCCAACCCCTGCAAACCTGCTGCTGCTCTTCTGTGAGTCCTAACTCCAATCATTGCACCATCACCTACTCATATGCTACAGAAAAAATTCTTGGTCACCTTAGACAACATCTTTCTTACCTGCCAGATCACTCTAAGTTCCCAAGTCCTGAGAATTCAGACTCCAAAATATCTTTCCGATCTATCCTTTTGCTCCGTTTTTCCTTTGTTGGCCTCTGATGGAGCTCATACCATCTCTTATCCAGACTATGGCATCTGCCTTCTAACTGTTCTCCCAACTTTCAACCTCTCTTCTCATTAACCTATTATCTTTTAAAAAATCCAAATCCTAGGCCGGGTATGGTGGTTCAAGCCTGTAATCTCAGCACTTTGGGAGGCCAAGGCAAGAGAATTACCTGAGCTCAGGGGTTCGAGACCAGCCTGGGCAACTTGGCAGGACCTCATCTCCACAATAAATCAAAAAATCAGCAGGGTGTGATAGTGCCTGCCTGTAGTTCCAGTTACTTGGAAGGCTGAGGTGGAAGGATCTCCTGAGCCCAGCAGGTCGAGGCTATGGTGGCTTTGAGCTTGCTACTGCACTCTAGCCTGGGCAACAGAGTGAGATTCCAACTCAAAAAACAAACAAAAAAAACTCCCCCCTAAAAAACCCCCCAATCCTACAAAATGACATGATGCTAGAGTTTGCTTGAAAATACTCCAACAATATTATGCAGTCATAAATAAGGACAAAATTATGGGCTCCACAGCAACTTGAACTGTTTTAGAGTCTGTAATACTTAGTGATCTATCACAGAAACAAAGAACTAAGTACCACATGTTCTCATTTATAAGCGGACCCTGAACATTTAACATAATACTATAAGAAAGGGATAATACTATAAAAAAGGGATTGGCAGTAGCCAGAAACTGCCAAAGCAGGGAGGAGGGAGCACATAATATCAATAAGGATATTGGATCTCAAACCAGGTGAAGTGGGGACCAAAAAGGTTGGGGTTCAAACTTTACCTGTTTGATGACCACTTGTATACCTAATCCTGAAGTGTACCCCTCATTTTTAAAATAAAAATTTTTAAAAAGAAAATCTCCCCCCAAAATAAAATCTGAATTACAAATGAAACAAAATTGGCAAAACGTTAACAGCTTTTAAAGCTGGATGAGGAGCATATGATCATATAGAATAGTCTGTTAAAAATATTCTACTTTTATGTATGGTAAAAATCTCTACAATAAAATATTTGAAAAAAATTAAAATCTATATCACTTTGCTGATAAAATTGCTTCAGGCTCTCCCAACTGCCCAGAAAATAAAGTCCAAACTCCAAAGCATGACCCACAGCACGTAGGATCCTCCCTGCCAGAGTCTCTGCCTCAGGCCACAGCCACTCTTCTTGTGCCCCACACTCTTGCTGTACTTGTATCTCTCCATCCAGTCATGCTTTTACTCCTCTGCACTTCAACACATGGTAATCAATCATTCATTAATTCATCTGACATTTCTGATTTGCCATGAGGCCAGTACTCTGCTATAATAAGGATACAGCAATATCTGAAGCTAAGGCACTAAAGCAGCTCACAGTCAAATGGAAAGACAGACAAGGAAACATATTCTTAAAGCTGTACTGCACTAGCCTAGACAATTAAGTTGACATTAAGAAACAATATATAACTTGAAAACATCTCTGCTCTTGAATTCCAAGGAAGAGAGAAAACAAAGCATAATAGTGTCATTTGGACATGGATCTTTAATTGCCAGCAGTCACAAAAAGAGAATGAAACCATTAGAAGATTTACTCTACAAACAATAGGAAGTGCTGTCTCCTTGCAGAGGGCAATTAGAAAACAGTAAATGTGAATAGAAGAAGATTGGCTTTTCTTGGTGAGACAGAAATCAGCATCTGCTGTGAACAAATAAGCAAACATCAGCATCTCTGAACAATCATGGGTAGCTTAGAATCCTGAGGGATTGGAAAGCAGAGCAGGTCCAGCCCGGTTCACCATCAGACCAGCTCACCCTTCTTCACAGCCAAGGCGAGGGTGGACATGCTGCTCAGTCCCTGTTGGTCTTTCACTGTCAACCGGAAATGGTAGGTTCCCACCTGAAGGCCAGTCACAGTGGCTATCGCCTTGTCAATATTTTCCATCTCCACTGCACTGGGGCCTCTATAAAACACAAAAGTGGTTAACAAAAGAGGGTGGTGTGGGATTCTGAATACAGTAGGCATGTGATTTGTGCCCCTAGGAATTTTTTTTCAGCTTAATACACATATGTACCACTTAGAGAATTCTAAGAAAAATCCTCATTCACTTGCATACTAGTCCAGTGAAAGAGCAATAAACTAAAGCCTATTTCAGAACAAGCCTGCTAGATTCCCGGGAAAAAGATTTCTGTTCTTGTGAAAAGATCTATTTTTGGGAAATGGAGCCTTAGGAACCACTCTCTTCTCTGTTTTGAATAAAATTAGGTTAAATCCTCATGTATCTTTAGGAAGAGTATGGAGGAGGAATAATCAGTCTCCTCAGAGAGGAAATGCAGTGTAGTCATTAAGAAGATGGGTTTGGTAGTCAAAAACCTAGGTTTGAATTCCAACTCTTTCTCTTACTGTCTGGGCAGTCTTAGTTTTCGAAGATCTCTACAAACCTGTTTTTTCAACTTTAATATGGGAATAATATTAGTATTTACCGCTTAAGAATTGACATATAATTCTATAAGATTAAGCATGGAAAGCTCAGAAAATGTTAGATAATAGGAGTATCTCCTTGTCCTCTACATTTCTGTTGTCTACCATCACTGCAGGGTGGGTTGAGTGTGGACAGAACATAAACAGGTTTCCCTAAACCTCTTCTGTCATGAGCTTATTCACACCAAGACAGTCCTGTCCACCTGCCCTGGGCTCCAGTCCCCTCCACTGTCAATGATTGTTCATTCACACTTGATATACTTTTTAATCAATGATACTCAGTGACTTCTAGAAACATGCTTAAATCCCGACTCCTTAGCAAGCTCAAGATGATTGTTTATTCTATATCCCCCCAAAAAGGGTCATGTTAGAATTCAGCACAGGCATGAGTGTAGTAGCCCAGTGCGAAGATAGACTACCTGACATGCTCCCAGTGGTAGAAGACAATGCCGTGGTCATCACTGCTCCTGCTCCCATCCAGGGTAGCACTTTCCACTGGGAATACCAGCTCTCTATCAGGGCCGGCCACAGCCACCGGAGGCCTATTGCTTTCTAGAATGACAGAAACAGTATGTCTTTGTATTACATCTACAATCTCCTGATTTCTTAATTTAAGCACATTACTCATATTGAAACACAGTAGCTGCTAGGATATGCACTATGGAAAACCTGGAGTGAAGCACTGCAGTTTCCTAGCTGACCATGGAGTTGAATCATCTGAGTTTGAGACTGGCAGCAAGAAAGTGTTCCCTGGTAGACATATTTTGGTCTATCTTCAAAAGTTATAAAATCAAGAGAGAAGGAAAGGAAAGAAGGGTAAGAAGAGAGAGGGAGGAAAGATAGAGGGAAGTAGATAGAAAGGGAGGCAGGCGGGGGGAAAAAGAACAAAGAAAGGGCGGGAAAGAGAGAGGGAAGTGGGAGGGTACACCAGCACAAAGAGAACTGCTTTGCCAGGAAGGGCTTACTTTCTTTCATCTTTGCAGCCCCAGTTCTAACACAGTGTCTGGTAAACTGTAAATGTTTAAAACATTTCAGTTAAATGTTGAAAAAAGTAAAAGATATAAAGTATCATTGATATTGTTATTGATATGAATAGATAACAATTCTGTTAACAAAAAAAGTCATGTAGTCAGAACTGAGGCATCTATTACTCAACATCTGGGCCATGTCACACCTCCATGATCCTATTCTGTACATTTCAGTTGGTGCCCTTTGTGCTTAGACAAAACACTTACATGACCATACATTTTTTCCCCCTTGGACAAAAATTTATTTTCTTTCATTTTTTAATTTTTTTTATTTTTTATAGTATTTTTTTCTCTTTTAAAAATTATTTATTACAAAGATGTGGGGTACAATTAAGGGTTAGATATATAAACACCAATTATGCAGGTTCCCTTGTTGATGAGGTATGCCCCTCCCTCCCCTAGTAGTTTGTGTCAACTGCCAGCCCCCCGCCCCCCGACAGTTTTCCACTACTGCCAATCACTTTCTTATAGCATTATAACATGACCATACATTTACAAAGCCCTTTACGACAGAGCTCCTGCCTCTCTTGGATCATTTGCTGTCATTCCAGTCTTGGCCTCCCACACTCCCACATCCCACCCCTTTTTCTCTCTCTCCAGTCACACAAATTTCATATGGGACTCTTTCACGCATATGTGCCTTCTGCCTAGGAGGAACTCTTCCTTGTGCCCTCCACTGCCTACCCTTCACCTTCTTCACTGGCTAACTGCTATTCATGCTTCAACCCTGAGCTCATATCAGAGCTCTTTACAAATGCCTCAAGGCCAGGCAGGTGCCCATTCTATGGGCCCATCATCCTGTCATTCCCCTAGTAAAGCACTGACCCACAGCTGTATGTGAACTCACCCATAAGCCCTGTAAGGGCAGAGGCCAAACCTATCTTGTTTAATTCCACATTTCTAGGGCCTAGCTAATAGCACTTTTCACATAGTAGTGAAATACATAAACTAGCTGTCTATAGGTTGAGTATATTCTCATTGCCAGAACACTGGATAGAATTTCTGGAACAGGCCTCTTCTAGAAAAGTTCTAAAGCAAAGACCATTGCCAAGCAAAAGTCTAGCTACCTACAAGGTTTTTTAACTCTGGAGATGGGTGGAGTCCTGGGTTTTCATGAAACTATGAATGGACTGTGGAGTTGAAGAGGAGCCAACTCTCCAATGTCTGGAGACATGTGAGTGTCAGGACACAGATAACAACCAGCCTCTTCATGACCATTCGGAGCTCTCTGCAGCAGCATGGGACACATGGGCGTGTCTGAATGGCAAATTGGAGCCCACAAGTGGTGTTGGAATTGGCTCTCATTTCGTCCTTCATATCATGACTTAGACACAGTCAAGGCAAGATTCAACACCTCAAAAGAAAATTGGTTTCACATGGAGCTTCAGCTCCCACAGTCCATCACCGCCAAATTTGGCATATCCAAAGCCTTGCAGCCCGGCAACCACTTCTGCTTTACTCTCTAGGGCCCAATCTCTTTTCCATTCACCTACCAGGCTGGACAATCACAGAAACCACAGCAGTAGATTGTTGCCCTGATGAATCCATCACCATCAGCTGAAACATATAACCTCCTTCCTTCATTGCAGATAAATGGAGGTATGGTGTCTGTACTCCCTAAGTAATAGCAAATACAAAAATGAAAACAAAAAGAAGAAATAATTAGAGCATAAGAAAGAGTATGACATAAGGAAAATTAACGATTTTACTTAATCCGGGAATCTTACCCAAAAAAGAAATGTGTGTCTCCAGGAAAACGCAACCTAAAATCCACTGTATATCCCCATACACCACTGAAGGAGTGTAAATTAATACCTTTTTGGAAGCCAACCTGGCAACATATATTAAAATGTTAAATGAGCACATTCTTTAGCTTAGTAATTCCACTTCCTAGTATCTACACTAAGAGAAATGCACAATGAGGCACACACGTGGATGTTGAAGTAAAATCTATAATAGCAAAAAAATGGAAAAGACCTAAAAATCCATCAACAGGAGAATGGCTGAACATACTATGACACAATACAGAATGCTAGTTTAAAAGAAGGAAGCTTGCCGGGCTTGGTGGCTCAGCCTGTAATCCCGTGCCTTTGGGAGGCTGAGGTGAGTGGATTGCCCGAGCCCGCGGGTTCGAGACCCGCCTGGGCAACTTGGCGAGACCTCACCTCTACAATAAATCAAAAAAAAAATTAGCCAGGCATGGTAGCACGTGCCTGTAGTTCCAGCTACTTGGAAGGCTAAGGCGGAAGGATCGCCGGAGCCCAGCAGGCCTAGGCTGTGGTGGCCAGGAGTAGCCACTGCACTCCAGTCTGGGCAACAGTGAGACTCCAACTCAAAAAAAAAAAGAAAAGAAGGAAGCTTGAAAGAATGAGGCAGTCTACAGCCATATCACCCTGAATAATATTAAAAGAATGAGACAGATTTATAAATGCCAAAATGGGAAATGTCAAAGACATATTAAGCAAAAGGGAGTTGTGGAACAATGCAAACAATGTTATAGATGTTGCTACATGTACACATGTATATAAACACATAGAAAAGATTCTGGAAGTACATATGTTAAACTGATAACCGTCATTATCTACAATAAGGAGACTTGGATGAAAGGGTGGTTAAAGTGTATTTCCACTTTACCAGAATTTATGTAAACTTTTTTTTTACAGTTTTTATATTACTTTTGTAATCAAAAATTATATTTTTATTTATTTTATTTTATTGCCAGAATCTCTGTTACAAGTTCTTTCAGTGTTGCATCTTGTCTTTCTTGAGTCTTATTCACTCTTTCTAATCATTCCCTAATCCCTGTTGTATTCTGGGGCCAGTTGTTGGTGACTTCCATTGTTTGGGCACCAATCTGATTTCTCAGGAGTTTTGTCTTTGGTAGACTTGGAATTGCCTGAGGTCTTACTTTGACTTTCCCTCATTTGTGACAAATCTCTTGTTTTTTTCTTTAGTTCTGTTATTCAGTGTCAGTGGGAGAGGCTTTCCCTTCTGATGTTTGCTCAGTTCTTTATTCTTCCCTGATCTGGGCTCTGGATTTGTTCTGTTTTGAAATAGAATGGTGGATGGAAAGTTTTGCTATCTCTTCTAGTTTTTTAAATCCAAATAAAGTGGGGGATGGGGCACTAGGAATCAGAAGCTGCTTACAAATTAAAATGTTCACTTATTGTGGTATGTGTTCCCTGAGATCCACTTCCCACCACCACTCTATGACGATGCAAAGCAGAAACCAACACACACTATAAAACAATCTGGAATAACAACAAAGCAGAGCAAAACAAAACACAACAAAAAAATGAAAAGAAAACTAAACACACACACACATGTCTAGTACAAAGTGAATAGAGAAGAAAGACAAAAAGACCAAAGGGGGAGAATAAGAAAAAAATTTTTTAACAAGGGATTCAGGTAGAACCTTGACACATTTATTGACACACCCCTTAAACTATAAAAAATGAATATAAAAAAATTCAGAAGAACAAAAGAGCAAAAATTAACAACAAAATCAAAAGATGAACACTCAATCATTCACATACACACATAAACAGAGAATGACAAATAAGAAAGAAACGGAAAAAGAAAAGAAAAAAAAATTGGGGGGGATGCAGATCAAAGCCTCACATACACATTAATGCACAAAGGAAAAATATTTTTAAAATAGATGAACTACCAAATGGATAAAATAAAAGCCCAAATCCGGGACATAGAAGACAAAAAGATAATCCAAAAAATCAACAAAACAAAAAAGCTGGTTCTTTGAAAGGATAAACAAAATCGATGGTCCCCTAGGTAGACTGACCAAGAAAAAGAGAGAAAAAGTCCAAATCAACACAATCAGAAATACAAAAGATGAAGTCACATCTGACCCTGAAGAAATACAAAAGATCATTAGAGACTACTATGTACACTTGTATGGAAATAAACTTGAAAACCTTAAGGAAATGAAGGACTTTCTGACATCATACAACCTGCCTAGGTTGAAACAAGAAGAAAATAGACCAATAACAATCAAGGAAATTGACTATGTAATAAGAAAACTACCTACAAAAAAAAGTCCTGGACCAGATGGCGTTCCAGCAGAATTCTATAAGACATTTAAGGAGCAACTAATACCAATCTTACTGAAAGTATTCCAGGCAATTGAGAAAGATGGAACTCTCCCCAAATCATTTTATGAAGTTAACATCACATTGATACCCAAGCCAGGTAAAGACCCAACAAAGAAAGAGAACTATAGGCCAATATCCTTGATGAACATAGATGCTAAAATTCTCAACAAGATCCTAACAAGCCGGATTCAACAACACACTGCAAAAATCATCTATCATGACCAAGTAGGCTTCATCCCTGGGATGCAAGGCTCGTTCAATGAGTGTAATTAAATATATCAACAGACATCAAAACAAAAACCACATGATTATATCATTAGATGCAGAAAAAGCTTTTGATAAACTCCAGCACCCCTTCTTGATAAAAACGCTCAAACATCTAGGCATACGTGGAACACATACCTCAAAATAGGTAAAAGCCATCTACAAGAAACCCACAGCCAGCATACTCCTAAGCAGACAAAAATTGGAACAATTTCCCCTGAAAACTGGAACAAGACAAGGATTCCCACGCTCACCCCTCCTGTTCAATATAGTATTGGAAGTCCTGGCTAGAGCAATCAGAGAAGAGAAGGCAATCAGAGGTATCCAAATAGGAAAAGAGGAAGTCAAGCTATCTCTCTTTGCAGATAACATGATTGTATACCTTGAAAACCCAAGAGAATCTGTCAAAAACCTCCTTGTACTGATAAAGGACTTTGGCAAAGTCTCAGGGCATAAAATAAATGTGCAAAAGACAATCACATTTCTTTACACCAAAAATAAACAAACAAAAACCCAAATAAAAAGCACAATCCCATTCACAACAGCCACAATAAAATGAAATATCTTGACATCTTCCTAACCAGAGACGTGAAAGATCTTTACAATGAAAACTACAAAACACTGCTCAAAGAAATCAAAGGTGACACAAACAAGTGGAAAAATATTTCATGCTCATGGATTGGTGGGTGATGGGAAGGGACGTAGACTTGGAAAACCTATGAGTTTAGGTGCTCTTCTAATAATTGTAATATATCAGACAATTTTACAAAGCAAAGTTTCTGGATTTAACTACCCCCCGCCCCCATCAAGACCAATACTAGACACACAGACAGAAGTCTAAAGGCAGGAGAGAGGACTTGCCTGCATGGCCACTTCTTTGCCCTCACTCCCAGGACCCAGGGACCACTCATAGAGGATGATCTGGTGATCATCACTGCTCTGATTTCCATTCAAAGTGATGGAGTTCTGGGGCAAAGTTATGGTCTGATTTGGTCCCGCATTGGCAACTGGGGGGTAGTCCACAGCACTGTTGACTATGAGGGCTGCCGTAGTGGAGTTTGTGGCTCCATCCGAGTCTGTGATGGTCAACCTACAAAAAAGAGAGGAAGCCGTAATTGTAAAAATATGCCAGATCTGAAGGTAAATGATCAGTTGAGTCTGCTTATGGTACAGTTTTCATAACAACTCAGAACAGGTATAAATAGAGACTTGAGGATGAAGCCAAGAAATGTACACAGACTTGAGAATATTTTTGTTTGTTTTTGTTGCTGTTGACTATTTTATTCTTTGTTCATCACATCTTCACATGTTAGAGTTTAAGCTTCATGGGCTTCTGGTTAGTCTTTGAGATGATGGGCAAAGAAACCATCCTCGGCCAACATAAGGCTACTTACTAATAACTGAGGCTCAAACTGGATCAGGTTTAAGTTCTGCTTTCAGGATGAGCATGTCGAGACATGAATTTTCAGCCACAAAGCTTTTTAACTCTTTTATTTTCAAGAGAATGTGTAATAATGTTTTCAGGACACTCTTTGCAAAGCAATTTTAGGATTAAGCACGTTCAAATATAAACCAATATTCAACCTACACAAGCAACAAAGAAAACTGCACTGGCCCTCCTGTGCTAAACTGTCTCCTTATGTGGGAATGGGGCCAGTGACATCACCAATAGGCCACTTCACCCCTCTGGGCTAAAGAAAGGAGTGGGGAGCTGTGATGAATGCTAAGGGGGTATAAGTAGGAACATGAGAATGAAGCTGTGGGGATAACACAAGCCTTCCTTGCAAGGAAGGTACATGTACAGGGTCACCTGTGCACGCTGAGCTTCCTTTCACACTATCCCATACTCCACAGAGCCAAAGTCCACACTCCACTTGTGACAGCAACCCAAACCCCTAAGGCCCTTCCTTCTCAACCAGGCTGGGTCAGAACGCCTTCTGGGCCCTTAAGGGAGTTTCTTCCTGGGCCAGCAGCAGTAATCTGCTTCAAATAGATGGCAAAGGGTAATTAAATTAAAATGAATAAACTCCTTATAAAGTGCATTTCACTATCTATACATTTGATTCCAATAACTAAAGTGTTAGAGACATAGTTTTAATTATACATTTTCTGAATTCCCTTCAGAAAGTTCCCACAAATCTACATTAGCAAAACCCGCAGATAAAAAGTAGACAATAAACTGGCAACATGTCTCAAACACCTTAAAAACATACATACCTCCAACCCAGAAATGTCACTTGTACCCTAAAATTTAACTATGTTCCCAAAAATTGAATAATGGGGCTGAATTAATACACCCCAATATATCAGCCCAGCATCAGATATAATGTTGCAGAATATTTAATATCATGGATATTAGTAATAAATGGGGAATCTAAAACCAGACCCACATATATGAAAACTTGACACAGATCAGATTGGCATTGCAAGTCGGGAAAGGAAAGACCCAACAAGAAATAATACAGGGAGGTCAGGTAGGGTGGCTCACGCCTACAAGCCTAGCACTTTGAGTGGCCAAAGCGAGAGGATCGTCTGGGTGACAAGATGAGACCTTGGCTCTACAGTAAATTTAAAAATTAGCTAGCTGTGGTGATACATGTCTGTAGTCCCAGCTACTCGGGAGGCTGAGGCAGAAGGATCGCCTGAGCCCATCAGGTCGAGGATATGGTAGCTGTGATCATGCCACTGCATTCCAGCCTGGGCAACAGAGTGAGACCCTGAGTCAATCAATCAATCAATAAAATAAGCTTGCAAGAACTAGGTAAATATTTACTCTTTTAAAAATTGTGGTAATTTTAACTAATTGAACATGTTTAATTGTGGCAAAATATACATAACATAACCACTGTTACCATTTTAAGTGTATAAATCAGTGGCAATAAAGTACATGCACTGTTGTGCAACCATCACTACCATCCATCTCCAAAACATTTTCATCATTCCAAACCAAAACACTGCACTCATTAAATAATAACTTCCCATTTACCCCTCTACTTCTCCCTCACAATCACTATTCTACTTTTGGTTCTATGAATTTGACTACTCCACATACCCCCATATAAGTAGAATTATACAATATTTGTCCTTTTGTAACTGGCTTATTCCACTTAGAATAAGATTCTCAAGGTTCATCTAGTGTTGTAGCATGTACCATAATTTCCTTCTTTTTTATGCTGAATAGTATTTAATTGAATGTATATACCATATTCTGTTATTCATTCATCTGTTGATGGACTACCTTGTTGCAGTTGTGAATAATGCTGTTATGAACAAGTATTTGTTTGAGTCCCTGTTTTCAACTCTTTGAGGCATATACCTGCAAGTGGGATTGCTGAATCATATAATAATTCTATGCTTACCTTTTTTTTTTTTTTTTTGAATCAGAGTCTCATTATCATCCAGGCTGGAGTGCAGTGGTATGCTCACAGCTATTGAAGCCTGGAACTGCTGGACTCAAGCAATCCTTCTGTCTCTGTCTTCCAAGTAGTTGGAACTACAGGCATGCACCACCACACCTGGTTAATATTTTTTTTTATTATAGAGACAAGGTCTTGCCAAGTTGCCCAGGCTGGTCTAGAACCCCTGGACTCAGGCAATCCTCTCACCTCCACCTCCTAAAGTGCTGGGATTAAAGGTGTGAGCCACAGTCCCCAGCCTCTGCTTAACTTTTTGAGGAACTGCCATCGTGCTTTCTACAGCGGTTTTACCATTTTACACTCCTATCAGGGTTTTGCATTTTTCCACACCATTCCAGTACATGTTATTTTCCAGTTTTTTAAATAACTATCCTAAGGGGGGTAAACTGTTTATTAAGCTGAGAATTCAACTAACTCAAAACAGAAGTGTTTATAATCATGGGTGAAATCAGAAACACTCTAAAGCACCTTTGTGGTCCTTTTAGTCAAAGATGAATCCTCTCAGATTCTTAAGGGTTTCCTAGCCAGACCAGATTTCAGAAGATCTATAAATGCATGAGTAAGGGCTCCTTCTCTGAAATCATCATATTCTTAAAAGGGTATTTGAGATCTTAAAAACATAATATGCCAGGATGTATGGGATGTAGATAAGCACTACTTACACAAAAATTATATCAGTGATAGAAATATAAAAACGAAAACTACAAAACTAGGAGAAAACATAGGAGTAAGTCTTTGCAATCTTGGGCTAGACGAATATTACTTATATAAACAGAAAAAGCATAAAACATAAAAGAAATATGGATAAATTAGTCTTCATCAAAATACAAACTTTTGCTTTTTGAAAGATATCACAAAGAAAACAAAAAAGCAGGCCACACACTGGGAGGAATGATCACCAACACATAACACAACCACTTTGGGAATGAGTTTGGCATGTTAAACATAAACTCACTATATGATCAAGCCTTTTTATGCCTGAGTATTTGCCTCCCCCTCCACACACCTCCAAAATCAAAACAAGTCCACACAAAGACTTGTACACAAATGCCCATGGCAGCTTTCTTTGTATTAATTGTAAGCTGTAAACAACCCAAATGTCCATACTAGATGAATGGAAAACAAATTGTGGTATATCCATACATTGGAATAAAACTTAATACAAAGAAACAAATGACTGATACGGACAACAGCATAGATAAAGCTCAAAATTATTTGTTGAGTGAAAGAAGCCAGGCAAAAACATATATATACTGTCTGATTCAATTTATATAAAATTCTAGGCTAGGTGTGGTGGCTCACACCTGTGATCCCAGAACTTTGGGAGGCTGAGGTGGGAGGATTGCTTGAGCCCAGGAATCCAAAACCAGCCTGGGCAACACAGTCAAACCTCACCTTTACAAAAAAAATCTAAAAATTACCCAGGCATGGTGGCACATGCCTGTAGTCCCAGCTACTTGGAAGGCTGAGAAAGGAGGATTGTTTGAGTCCAGGAGGTCTAGGCTGTGGTGAACCATCACGATGCCACTGCATTCCAGTCTGGGTGGCAGAGTGAGACCCTGACTCATTACAATAAAATTAAATTTAAAATAATAGAATAGAGTAGAATAGAATAATATATATAATATAATATAATAATAGAAAGTGCAAAATAGTTTAAACTGACAAAAAGCAGGTCTGCCCAGACTGAGGAGAAGATGGATTGCTACGGGGCAAGAGAAGCATGTGGGGGCGATGGAAATGTTTAACTCAATTGTAGTGAAGGTTTCACAGGTATACCTGTATGTGAAAATTCGTCAAATTTTATACTTTAAATATGTGTGTTCTTTATACTTCAGTTAAACCTAAAAATATTACAAAAAGAAAAAGATAATCCTACAACTAACAGATAATCATACAACTCTGCCTTACTTTGACTGTGAAACGCAAACTTTCTATCAAATAACTAAAAAGAGGCCAGGTGCAGTGGTTTATGCCTGTAATCCCAGCACTTTAGGCAGAGGTAAGAGAATTGCCCAAACCTAGGGGTTCAAGACTAGCCTGGGCAACTTGGCAAGACCTTGTCTCTACAATAAATCAAAAAATTAACCGTGTGTGGCAGACTCATGTACTGCCAGCTACTTGTAAGGTTGAGGCAGAAGGATTGCTTGAGTTCAGCAGGTTGAGGTTGTGGTAGCCATGATTGTGCCACTGCACTCCAGCCTGGGCAACAGTGAGACTCCAATTCAAAAAAAAAAAAAAGGTAACTCAAAAGAACAAAAAGATGCCATCCCCATCCTATTCCTGACAGCCCAAAGCAAATGTTTCCAATAAACAGACACTCATAGTTCATATTGATTGATGAGGATATCAAAGTCTACAGTGGCAGTCAACCAAAACCTACAAGAAACCAAATCTGCTTTGTCTGTTAATCAAAGTGAAAAGAAGCACAGCGTTTTATAGCCATTAATTTAAATAAATAGTCAAAACATAGGTGGAAAGCACAATAAATATGGGGACCCACTTGCCTGAAAGTATAGTTGCCAGGAACAAGGTTAGACAAATGTAAGACGGGGGAGTCAACTGTGATCTTCTCTTCTATGAAGGGCCCGTGAATTTCTTCCCAGTGATAACTCATTATATTAGTATCATCTGTACTTTCTAAAAGATTAAAAAATAAAAACTAAAATGAAAAGCAAGAATAGCCAAACATAAGTTTTGTGATTGAAATCATTGCATATTTATATGAAATTTTATGCTTGTATAGATCTCAATGAATATATATTATACATTAAAAGGAGGCTATTTTCTACTCCCTAAATTTTCATCACTATTTTTCTCCTTGATTTCTACCAGATTTTAGTGAGGTTGTTCCCACTCTGTTGGATATTTAAGAAGCATACAGTGACAGGCTTTTTAAAAAGGAGAGTCAACAAAGTGCCGTACGTACATTGAAATGCTAATTATACTTACCTCACCTAGAGCAAAGTCCTGCTGATAATTTTAAATAGGTATCTGAACTGACAGATTCATAAAGACTTCAGAAGTACTTATCTATAATTTACAAAACATCTTTTACTATCTTAATTATTTATTAGTATTAGCCGCTAAGTCCTCCCAGTCTTGATGCAGAGCACTCATTAAATCTCGTAGTTTGTAGGGCAAAAGACCCCTAAAATATCACAGGATACACACGGCTGCCATCGATGAGGACTGATGTCAAAGGCAAAGTAAGCTCTTGTCTTTGTGGAGAAACAATTGCTACGGGTGGCAGGTTGAGTCTTCTGGCTGTGACAGAAAAAAAAAAAGAACAGTGACTGAGACAGCATGTGTCATTACCCAAACAAAATGATCTGCTTTTTAAGAATTGATTATGGCTGGGCTCGGTGGCTCAGCCTGTAATCCCAGCACTTTGGGAGGCTGAGGCAAGTGGATTGCCTGAGCCCGCGGGTTCAAGACCAGTCCAGGCAACTTGGTGAGACCTTGTCTCTACAATAAATAATAATTTAAAAAATTAGCTGGGTATGGTAGTGCACACCTGTAGTTCTGGCTACTTGGAAGGCTGAGGTTGAAGAATCACCGGAACCCAGCAGGTCGATGCTGGGGAGGCTGTGAGCATGCCACTGCACTCCAGCCTGGGCGACGGAAGTGAGATTCCAACTCAGAAAAAAGAACTGATTATAAACGTCCTGTCAAGAAGGTGTTTATCCTACAGGTCTCAACTATAAAGAGAATTTTTAAAAGATTGGGTGTGGTGGCTCATGCCTGTAATCCCAGCACTTTGGGAGGCTCAGGCAAAAGGACTTCCTGAGCCCAAGTGCTCGAGACAAGCCTGAGCAACTTGGCGAAACCTTGTCTGTACAATAAATCAAAAAATTATCCAGGCGTGGTGGCGCACACCTGTGGTTCCAGCTACTTGGAAGGCAGAGGCAGGAGGATTGCCTGAGCCCACCAGGTGGAGGCTGCAGTAGTTGTGAGCATTACACTGCACACCAGCTTGGGAGACAGAGTCAGACTTCAACTCAAAAATAAACAAACCAATCAATAAATAAAAGTTTGGTGTCTTCCTGTAAATGTTAGGAGCTTGTCTGTATATTTACATTTTGCATGTATACTCAGACTCAACAAAGACGTGAAATAACAAAGGCCTAGTTACAGACTATGAACAGTAACAGCAGAATAGGAGCAATGGAACTGAGTTCCAGCTTCTATGATTATCTGGATCTTAAATCCTTAACTGAAGGCACCTTTCTCACCATCATGCTTCAGCTGGAATATAATTGGCAGAATATGCAAAAGTTAGAGTGGTCAGGCCTTCAAGAAAAGGCTGGAAGGTAAAGTTGGCAGTTGGTGCAGAAGGCCAGCCATGTTCTATTCACTGAGCCAGGGCTGTGCCCACTCAGTCAAAGAGCCACCCGTTTCTTCTGACTCACATGAACGCACTGTCCTATGAGCTAGTAATGGACTTGAAAGTCCACAGCACACATTTTCTGACTCCTCAGTTGCTCAGGTGAAAATATTTGAAATACCCGTGTTCAGAAGATAAAGCTGAATCATGGGGAGTAGAGGTTGAAGAGTGAATGGAGTAAATGTCAGACAAAGAATGCGATTTGCCACCATTCAAGAGAAGCAAGCAATAAACTTGTAGCCTTAAGTAGCAAAGTCAATCAAGTACCAATGGCTATATGGGAAGCAGAAAAAAACAAAAACCAGAAACAATCTCTACAGTAGAGCCAATGTTTTCTTTTTTTTGAGTTGGAGTCTCACTCAGTCACCCAGACTGGAGTGCAGTGGCTGCTCCCAGCCACTGCTGCCTCGACTTGCTGGGCTCCGGCGATCCTTCCACTTAGCCTTCCAAGTATTAATTTTTTTATTTATTGTAGAGATGAGGTCTCGCCAATGTTTTCAATGGATCCTACGTATAGAAACAATAGATTATATATATATGGGGTTGCCAAAAAATGTATACACATTTTAAGTATGAATTTCACTCAAAAGATGGCTTTAACCTAAAGAATGCTAGTGTCATCATGCAACAGGCAGGACGGTCAGAAATAACAAAAGCACAGTGGAGTGAATGTCATTTTACACACTGCTACCATAATTTAATTCAAATTCAAAAAGTAATACATAGATAACATCTCTTAAATGTGTACACATTTTTTTTGGCACTGTGTGTGTGTGTGTGTGTGTGTGTGTGTGTGTGTGTGTGTCTTTGTATGTCATGTCAACCAGGTGCCAAAAATTGAGACAAACCTGCACAACAGAAGGTCATTCTTTTACAAAGGTTTACCTGGCTTAACAGTAACATTGACAAATCCTTCTCCAAAGGCATCTTCACTAGAAACGGCTACTTTGAAGGCATAAAGTCCTATTGACAACTGCAACATAAAGAAAAGTTACACAAGTAAACACGCAAAAGACAAGATAGGTTCACTGCCTAGAAAAGGCTAACATGTTCCAGAAGCCATGCTCCTAAAGTCAGCACAGAGAAGGGGATCAGGACAACATCTCATTCAGATCTGTCAAGAGACTGCCACATGTTTGAAGCCTACACTCTGGAACACTAAAGGTCACCTAGACAGGTCTTTAGATTAGTTACAGGCGTTCACAGGCCTTACTTTATTCATTTATATGGTTCTTTTCATCTTCAGCAATATTTTTTGTTTCAACAGCTAAGAAGTTGTTAACTAAATTCTTCTATGGAGTGCTATCAAATATAACCAGTCTCCAGTTACTTACCTGAGAAAGGTTAAGGGTTTGCATGTGTCCTTGTTTTATTTCACCTTTGTAGTCTACAGGATGTCTTATTAAACTCCATTCATAGCTGTAGGTTGTTTCTGAGAGCAAAAAAGAAATGAGTAGTTGTAAATTCTGAGAGGTCACTATATACCTTGGCAGAGGGAAGGGGATAATGGCCTTAAATTCACCAGTATAGATTACCTTAGATATACTGAATCCACTTTCAGCTATCATCCAGCAAGGAATAACATTTCTCTACTTTTTTCTTTTTTTGAGTTGGTGTCTCACTCTGTTGCCCAGGCTGAAGTACAATGGCACGATCATGGCTCACTGCAGCCTCGACCTCCCAGGATGAAGCAATCCTTCCTCCTCAGCCTCCTGAGTAGCTAGGATTATAGGTATGTGCCACCACTTTTTTGTAGAGACTAGATCTCACTATGTTCCCTAGGCTGGTCTCAAACCCCTGGGTTCAAGCAATCCTCCCACCTCAGTCTCCCAGAGTGCTGAGGTTACAGGTGTGAGTCACCGCACCAGGCCATTCTTATACTTTTCACTGTAAAATTTCTTTTTTATAAAAAAAAAATACAACTTATAGGGAATTTAGAAAATGTATAAAGTTAATAAAACAAGATAAACTGCTGATATCACTGTTAATATATGATGAATTACTTTCCAGAATGTTACATCTAACTATTCATACGAGTTTTAACATAGTATAATCCACTGTGCATTTTTCCTTTTAATAAAAGGCGAAGAGATCTCAATTCATTTGATCTGTTATAGGGGTTTATAAAAGGACATAAAAATTGAGTAAATATCTCTATGTTAAGATGAAGCTGTCTCCCACCTTCAGATATTAGTAAAGTATAAGGTACCTCATTCATCTCAAAGGACTAAACTGCAAATGCCAAATATAATCACTGTTTATAAAATTTTCCCCATATGTGATGGAGAAAAAAATGAATCAAGGAACTAACTTGAAAGAGAAACACCTTAAGAATGAATTTACCTCCATCATACTAAGTGAACTGTCACACACAAAAAAAGAACTGAATACCGCATATACTCACATAAGTGGGCCCTGATCACTGGTCACATGAGCACAAGTGTGAGATTGGCAGATACTGGGCACTAGTGCTAAGGGAGGGAGGAAGGAGGGAGAAAGACATTTGGCTACACACTGGGTACCTGATCCATTATCAGGGGGAGGGAGGACCAGCTAGAAGCCCAAACTTCACCTGCAGGTAAGCTACCTATGTAGTAAATCCCCACAACTCAAATAATGAAAGACAATAAAGTCCATCTACCTTAAGAAAGAATGCATTTGACAGGCTATGGGGATAGGCCAAATGTCCACTGAATAGTATACTGAGCACTGGACAAGTAGAAGAAAGAACATTTCTAATGACATTTTTGAGCAGCTGTTGTGAAGTGCCCTGAGAATCTGAGTTGGGTTGTCAGTTCCACAGTATCTGCAAACAAACCTCTAGGTGCCTGCCACCTCCCTCTCCTCACAGGTGGAATCTTCCCAGGTTCTGTGGGTTATCCCAGGTCATGATCCAGTACGTGGCAACCTCTCCTGGTCTAATATATCACTTTGTTTTGCATCATCAGAAATTTATGACTTTCCATCCCGATAAATTAAAAAAACTGAGTGTATTTAATTTCCTATAACTCTCAGTTCATTTTAAACTATTTCGGTCCCTTTTGATGCTTAAGATAATCAAAACTTTGTCTTCCACCTTCATTTGTGATGTCACACTGTGTTGTGAAAATGACTTGATGTTGTAAATAACCTGTAAAGACCTGTTAAGGAAGAACACCTCAGCTCTACCAGTCCCTGGCAGTCACAAAGTCAAACTCTTACCTGCAGGTGGTGCTGGCACAACAAAGGCCTTCAGCTCAACTTCATTGTTGGGAAAAGTTATTATTCGGTTATCTCCAGCAGACACCGTAAGTTCTTTCACTAAAAGTTTATTAGAAATGATACATGCCATTATATAATACAAAGATGCCATATTACTGTCCTACAATAGACATCTTTAGTATCCATAAAATAAAATAGTATGTTTTTGAAATAGTCTAAGACACTTTTTTTTTTTGTCTAAGACACTTTTTTCCCTCTGGTTCATAAGTGAACTATGCCCTGTATTATACTGCAGGGTTTTAAACCATCTATTTAAATTGGCATCATGAAGAAAATAATGTTTCAAATTAACTGAGCAATGTGTTTGGGTACAAGAGTTGCATGAAACAGGTGTTACTGTGGATTGGGTTTATTTTCTCTCTAGCTATACTAGCTGTTCTTGACTCCCCGGTGTGAGCTGTTTTAGTTATAAAAAGACTGAGTGTAATCCTAAGTGTTTCTGTGTCATTAGTCACACACCACTCAGTGCTGATAGTAGCTTCATGAATTATTGCTAATGGTCATGCTCTTGGAAACTTTCCAAGAGAAAAATCCAGTCAGCCTCAATATAAAAAGGCCATTTTAACTCAAGCAGCAGGAACATTAACTCTTATCAAAAGCACTTATCCACTAAGTAAGCATGTCGAATGGTACTTGTTTACTTTCTCTATAATCAGGATTACATTCATATTACAGTTATGTTTGCATGGCTCAACTGGGCATTAGTTTCACTTGTGAAATACATTGTGATATATCAAAATATCACATAGAAAAAAAAGCAAAGATTAAAAAAAAAGGTGAGTGTTCTCCAGAGGGATCAGCTGTTAGGAGATGTTAAAAGGCCATTTGCTTATTTAATCCATTCCTCTGTTCAGTCCTCAGTTCCCTGAGTGCCTTCTAGAACTGCTGCAGAGACTGTTAGTGGCCTCACTGGCTCTTCTCCCCGACTCATTCACTAACTCTTTGCCCTGAAAGCCAGCATTTGTGGACCTGGAAGAGACACTGATCTAAGCCTATCAATCTACAAATGGGGAAATTGGATCCTAGAAAGGCAAAGTAAGTCGTCCAAGGATATGTGGATAATTAGCAAAAGGCTCGCCCACACTTTACTTTAAGAACGTTTACTTTAAACGTATTTATTTCAACAAACATTTACCAAATTAAACTGTGCCAGCCACTACTCCAAGGGCATTACAACAATCAAATCATTTAATCCTCATAAAAACCCTATGTAGAAGGTTCTACTTCCCAGGTCAATTTATTTTTCCATATACAGCACAGCTTCTCTTCCAATATTCTTCTTGTTACTGAAGCTCAGGACCAAAGCAAAAAAGTTAGAGAGTATAATCTCCAAAACACATTATCCACAGAAAAGTTCAGGAAACATGACGCTTAGGTACTGCATGTTCTAATAGCCTGAGAAGTAGGCTCTTGGGTTTTAACAGAACCTTTAGCATAGGGTTGTTATGAGGATTAAATGATTCAGATCATTGTAAAGCCCTTGGAGAAATGCCTGGCACAGTTTAATGTGGTATATAACTGTTTATTGAAATAAGTATACCTAAAGTAATTAAATATTGGTGGGCCACTGCTAATCATTCATCTTTTTATTTTTTGAGTTGGAGTCTTACTCGTTTGCCAAGGCTGGAGTGCAGTGGCACACTCACGGCCACCCCAGCGTCAACCTGCTGGGCCCTGGCGATCCTTCCACCTCCGTCTTCCAAGTAGCCAGAACTACAGGCGCACGCTACCACACCCAGCTAATTTTTTAATTTATTGTAGAGATGAGGTCTTGCCATGCTGCCCAGGCTGGTCATGAACCCACGGGTTCAGGCAATCCTCCCGCCTCAGCCTCCCAAAGTGCTGGGATTACAGGCTTGAGCCGGCCAGCCCAGCCTAATCATCCATTTTATTAGAAAATCTAATGGGAGCGTTTCAATCCTCACTGTGGCCTCAGCAACACATGGTGCTTTGATCACTTCTTTCTTTTTGGAGCCTTAGGAAAGCAGAATATGTCAACCCAAGACATGACTATAGGAGACTAGAATATGCCACTGCAAATATGCCCCTTTGATGTCAAGAATATTTTGAGAAACAGAAGACCAGGAGAAGCTCTGAAAACAAAGGTACCCTTTTTGCAGGGTTCGGTGGCTCAACCTGTAATCCCAGCGCTTTGGGAGGCTGAGGTGAGTGGACTGCCTGAGCCCGAGGGTTCGAGACCCACCCAGGCAACTTGGCCAGACCTCGTCTCTACAATAAATCAAAAATCAGCCAGGCATGGTAGCGTGTGCCTGTAGTTCCAGCTACTGGGAAGGCTGAGGTGGAAGGATCGCCAGAGCCCAGCAGGTCGAGGCTGCAAAGTTACATCTCTAAAGGCAATCTCCATCTGTGAGGGTGTCTCTCTCTCCGTGCCAGGAAAAGAACGATGACTAAATCCCAAGAGACTCATATCAATGGAGAAGTCAGTGACTGAAATCTGCACGTCAAGCCTTAGTGTTGCTTGCTTTTCCTGGTCACCTTCTCTCTCTTTCCTTCCCCCATACCCTTTTTTCTCTGATTTAGTTGAAAATGCTCTGTGAGCCAGAGTTCCAGGCACCTCTTTGAGATTTACTCATTCCCCTGGGTATCTCCCATATGTATAGAAGATACATATGTTAATAAACTTTTGCTTTTTCTCTTGTTGATCTGTCATTTATTATAGGGGTCTCAGTCTAGAACTTAGTAAGTAAATGGAAAACTGTTTTTCCTCCTCTGTAGAACTCTCCCCTGCTTCCTTCCCTCATTTGATGCTTTCTTCTTTAACTCCCATATATCTTGGCATGACCACCCAACCAGTTTTGTAGGCCCCTTCTGTTCTTCCAGCTCCCTATATAATGACATCCCCAAAATTCCACCCCTCAGGCCTCTCCTGAGCTCACCCCACCCTAATCCTTTATCTTCAGAGAAACTGTTCATCTACTTCTAGTTCTATATGGTCCTACGTCTTAAAGTCCTTTTCCTACATCCTAACATTCAAGTATTCATTAGATCCTAATAATTTTGCTTGCTTCCTCTTGAATCTAGTTCCTTCTCTCCATCCCTGCAACCTGTCACCATTGTCTTTCCACGGATCTTCTTGCCTCCAGTCAAAGTTATCCTATTTTCTTAAGACAAATCTGATTCACGTTGCCTTGCTGCTTAAAGCTGCTCAGGGAATCTTTATGCCCATTCAACAAAAAACAGATTCCTTAGCACAGAATACACGATCTTTCACATTCCTGCCTTGCTTACCACTCTAGTAAGCAAACTCCCTACAGCACTTCCAAAATGTCACATGAGCTCTTGGACTTCTGTTATCTCTCATAAGGAATGAATGAGAAGTTGGATAGGAAGCTCTAAGCACAATGCCTGGCACTTTGTAGGTGTTCAGTAATTGTTACATCATGTGTTCCTTCCTCAACCCGAACAACAAATCAACCCCATTTTTGCTGGCTTACTCTATCCTAGCATCATGTCCTCTGGAAAGGCTTTCCTGGCCCCTCCTAGCAGGTCAGGACATCCCTGTGCTCCCACAGCAGCCTCCCACAGGCCTTACCATACTGTATCAGAACCATCTTTTTACCTATCAGTCTCCTCTCCTACTATCAAGTCCCTGAGAGAAAAAGACAATGTCTTATTTATCTTTTTTTCCCCAGTATACAGCACCATTTCTGACACATGACAGATGCTCAAAAACGGGCCTGGAGGGAATGAGTAAACTTTAAAAGTTGATGCTACCAAATTCTACAGTCTGTCTTCAGTACGTTTCTTCCAGTTGTAGTTTTTAAAAGTTACCTGTCCTGGGAGAAGTGGTAGGAGATATGGGTTGCTCAGATGGGGTGGACCCAGAGGGGTCAGTGCTAGTGAGAAGCGTTGGGATGCTGTGCTCCATGGTCCATGGGGTGACTGTGAGCACCGGGCTTTTCTCGACAGTAGTTGGGCTAAGCTCCAGGCTGGCTGGAGGAGGATTATGGGAAGGCATTAGAACCTATGAGATCAATTACAAGGATAAATTGTTATGAAAAAACAACCAGTGAATTCTTCATGCAACACAATGTTACTGACCTTTTTCACAAATTAGATTCAGTATTGTTTGAAAAAAACATGAATAATATCACAAAATTCTGTAACTCTAGACTATCTCTCTCAAATATTTTCCCTGCTATCTATTACAAATGTAAGGCAATTGTGGATCGGACAATTAGTATAGGTGAACACATACACTTAAGATAAATAATGAGAAAGTAACTATAGTAGCCCCTGAACTATTCAGTGCAATAGACTGAATGTTTGTGTGCCCCTCGTCCCCCACCAAATTCATGTGTTAAAATCCTAACCCCCAGTGTGATGGTATTTGGAGGTAGGGCCTTTGGGAAGTAAACAGATCATGAGCAGGGAGGCCTCATAAATGAGATTAGTGCCTTATAAGAAGAGTACAGAGAGCTAGATAGTTCTCTTTTTTCCATAGAAGGAAGCAGCAAGATTACTATCTGTAAACCAAGAAGAGGGCCTGGCAAGAAGATTACTACCTGTAAACCAAGAAGAGGCCCTCACCAAGAATCTAACCTTGCTGGCATCCTGATCTCACACTTTCAACCTTTAGAACTGTGAAACATAAATGTTTGCTGTTTAAGCCTCCTTGTTCACGGTATTTTGTTATAGCAGCCTGAACTAAGATGATCAGTAGGGGAATATTTGAAGACAATCAAATAATTGAATAGTAAACAGGATTCCAGAATAAACAATTCTATTCATACTACCCCCTTGTATATAAACTATAACTTAAAGTTATAGAGTCAGCCAAGTTAAAGCTTTTAAATTTAATATTATGTGCCAGAGGGTAAAGTCTCATAATATGATAATAAAATGGCTCTCTGAGACTGAACAGCCAATAACTGTATGGGACAGATGTGTAAAACTTTTAGACTCAGACTAGAGGAGACCCAAAGGGAACATGTACAATAGAAAACTCACAGAAAGAAAAGCTGTAGTCCAAATGTAAACTGGAGAGAGGACCATTGGCATTTATTGGAAACACAGCTACTCTTTTTCACAGTTGAGAAAAGTGAACAAGGATGTGGCATACTTTTTGTGACTGGAGATGTGATCACTGACATCACTGCAAATATTAACTGAACCCCCACTGGGTTTCAGATATTGACTAGGCAACTGGTAAAAGCTTCTGCAACTAAATTTCCAGAATCAATGCACAAAAAAAAAAAAAAAAGATGATTAAATTTAAGACATATACTACTTGATTTCTCTCCATTTGAGCAGTATGACTTAAATTTAATATATATATATCTTAATATGTATTATATGTCTTAATATATATTAAATTTAAGACATACTGCTAAAATTAAGAGAAATCAAGTAATGGGTGTACCATAATTTTAAGATGCTCAATTTAACTGACTTTTTAGGCATCCGGGTTTGTGAAGTGAGTGTTAATGGATGAAGCTGGTCATAAAATCTGTGCTAAGAACAGTATGAAATTCAGAATCACGGCAAACAGGGTTGCAGAATAGACGCCCAGAGCATATTATTACAGTGGAGCCTCTGTAAATTCCACAGGATGAACTGGGTTTTTTAAAGTTTTATCGGGTCCTGAAAAATTATTCTGAATTGAAATAAAGAATGAAGGTAGACAGTGGCCGGAGAAATCAAGGTATCTTAGATCAAGGTCAGAGACATCAGAAAATGGATCGGTGGGAAGAAACTCTCGTCCTGCTCTTCTTTAAAACATTCATTTTTTTCCACCAAGCTGCCTCTCCGGGCTGGATCACATGCTAATTCTCACCTTCGCTATTTAGTAATCTACCTACTACCTCCACCACAGAACTTCTAGCTAAGTTATCAGGATACAAGGTTCTGCCCCGTATCCAAAAGAAAATGGGCCCTCTAGGGGAGCAACTGAGCACCAGCACCCCATTTCAGCACTTCAAGTTAAGCTGAGCCTAGTCAATAAAAATCTCAAATGCCTCTTGCTTCTATTTTCTCTACTCTCATTTACTTCGAAACAACTTGTTCTAGGTAAATCTATCTAGTCCTGTCCACTTGAAAACGCAGCTCCAAAAAATGTCCTTTATTCTCTATAAGCTTGATCTTGATTTGTTTTTCCTACATGTCCTATTCACTATTTTGTGAATAATGCTGCATGAGCATTCATGTACAAGTCCTTCTATGTTTTCCTTTCTCTTAAGTAAATAGCTAGAAGTAGAATTGCTGGGTCATATGGTAACCCTACCTTTAACATTTTGAGGCAATGCAAGACTCTTTTCCAAAGCAGTTGCATCATTATACATTCCCATCAACGGTATATGAAACTTGCAATTTCTCTATATCCTTACTAACAATTGTTTTCACTTTTTGTTCTAGTTATCCAAGTAGGTGTGAAATGGTAACTCTGTGATTTTGATTTGTATTTCCCTAAAGATTAATGATACTTAGCATCTTTTCATATGCTTATTTTCCATTCTTCTATCATCTTTAGATAAATATCTATCTATTCAGATCCTTTGCCCTTTAAAAAAAATTTTTTTTTTGTAGAGACAGGATCTCACCATATTGCCCAGGCTGATCTTGAACTCGTGCAAGTGATCCTCCTGCCTTGGCCTCCCAAAATGCTGGGATTACAGGTATGAGCCACCACACCCAGCCTCCTTTGCCCATTTTTAAATTGGGTTATTTGTCTTTTTATTATTGAGTTATAAGAGTTATTTGTATAGCATAAGTACAATATTTATGGTATATGATTTACAAATTTTATTCCATTCTATGGGTTTCCGTCACTTTCTTGATGTTGCCATTTGAAACACAAAAGTTTTTTATTTTGATGAAGTCACATTTATCCTTTTTCCCCCCTTCTATTTCCATGCTTTTAATGTCCCATCTAAGAAATCATTGTCTAACCCAAGGTTACAAAGATTTACTGCTGTATTTTCTTCTAAGACTTTTATAGTTTTAAGTTTTACATTGAGGTCTCTGGTTCATTTCAAGTTAATTTTTTTTAATAAAGTATGAGACAGGTGTCAAATTCGTTCTTTTCCATATGAATATCCAGTTGTCACAGTACCACTTGTTGAAAAGACTATTCTTTCCCCCATTGAATATTCTAGGTATCTTTATCAAATACTATTGAACTATTTAAAATACTTTTTTGGTAAGAGAAGAGATCTTAGTTTCTGTCATTAATTTCAAATTTTACACTCCATCAGAATAAAATAATAATGATTTCCTTTCTTTTTGCTTAGAGACAGCATCTCACTATGCTGCCCAGGCTGGTCTCTAACTCCCAGGCTCAAGTAATCCTCCTGCTTCAGCCTTTCAAGTAGCTGGGACTACAGGCACATAACACCATGCTCAGCATGAATAAAATATTTCTTATTATGTTCTGTATCTAATGTTTATGAAAAATTATTCAAAGATTAGCAACAAATTTAATGTGGCTGTAGGGGTCAACTAGTATTTCTATATAAAATAATGTATTATCTACATAATACCCCTCCAGGTTATCTGACTCTAGTCTTTCTTATATTTGAGCAATTTTACAATTCTATAAGTTGTCAGTCACTGATAACAATTCAAAATCATTCTTGGCTAGAAACATGTAGATTCTGCCCTGTCTGGTAGAGGTTCAGTTATACTCATTCCCCCCTCACTGGAAAATCCACTTTTGCCTCTATTTGCAAATTCATTTCAATATTCTTGATCTATGAATATGTCTGTTATTCAGATTCTCTTATGCAATAATTATAATCACCTAGCTCCCTTATGATTAATGATTAGAATGAAACATCACATGTTTGTTCTGTATCTGTGCAATTCATATTTTACCTATTTTTGATAATTATCTTTTAACATAATCAACCTCAAAAAACTAATGAGCCAAGAGGTTTGTAATAGACCTTGACTTTAGATAGTTCCATCCATAGACACACTAGAATGTAAAATGACTAGCAACATGAAAGAGGATATACTATGTTAATATTCACCAATATGAGGAAAAAACATGATTAATATTTAGTACTTCCAAGCTACTTTTCAATTGTAATTTTTTTGGTAGAGATGGGGTCTCTATGTTGCTGACCCTGGTTTTGAATTCCTTGGCCACAGTCCCCCAAAGTGCTGGGATTACAGGCATGAGCCACTATGCCTGCCTCCATGTTATTTTTAATTGAAATTTTCTTTCACTTTAATCCAATTACAATTATAGTAAAATACAGAAACTCTGAAGTACAGAAAAATATACAAAAGCAGAAAAATCAGATAATTTTAATACTTAAAAATGATTTCTAGGCTAAACTTGGTGGCTCATAACTGTAATCCCAGCACTTTAGAAGGGGGAGAATTGCTTGAGCCTAGACATTTGAGACCAGCCTAAACAAGACTTTGTTTCTACAAAAAAAATTTAAAAATTAGCCGGACTTGTTGCTGGGTGCCTGTAGTCCCAGCTCCTCAGGAGGCTGAAGTGAGAAGACTGCCTGAGCCCAGAAGGTTGAAGCTGCGGTGAGCTGTGATCATGCCATTGCCCTCCAGCCTGGGCAACAGAGTGAGGCCCTGACTCAAAAATCAATAAATGAATGAATAATAAATCAGTAAACAAAATGACTTGTAGACATTTTTCAGCAAATTTGCATGGCTGAGATTATAATGTATAGTCAATTCAGTCCAGCATCCTTCTCCTACTCCAACCTAACCAAATAAATCCTAAAGACTATTTTCCTATAAAATAATTCCTAAAGGACTCCTGTGTCCATTTGGTACTCCATTTCCAGCTGTGTTCAGCTTCCCCTGATCAACATGCTCACTTGCCACATTCTCCTCCAGTCCTGACCCCTTCCCAAACAAGTAGCTCCTCAGTGCTCCAGCCAGTCTCCTCATAGCATGGTTCTCATCTTCTATCTCCCTGACCTTCTGCCTAACAGGTAGACCTTCTCCCTGTTATGGTGTCTCAGATCTCCCAGTGATTCCCATTCTTTTCTCACCTGAGTTTTTCATGGACTGTTTTGTAAAGCTTACGTTCTCTCCTTCATATTTCTCTCCTCCTAGCCAATAGTATAGTTTCTAGCAACCAACATACTTATTGGGTCTTGAAGAAACCTACTAAGGTGAATTTCATCACCATGGGAGTACATGCTGTGTGTATGTGCTGGCTCCAGTGGCCTCTATAAAATCTTCATTCACCTTAAATATTGGCCAAGGGATCTCTACAAAGAAGTGCTAAATCATCATGAGTTGGCTGACTTGTGAAGGCAGCACTATTGTTCTTTTTTAACAGCCTGATCATGAAGGCGCAGAAGAGGAACAAGATGTTTTGTTTCCTGGAAAGCCCTGAGAGACAGTCATCTTTTTTGCCGGCACCCAAGAGAGATGCTCTCAGGAGAAACCTACTTATGTTCATATAGCCTGAATGAGAGCCCGGCTACTTAAACTCAGCCCATCCTACTGTCTGCTATCCTCAGTGCTCCCACTCCCCACCCCCACAATAAGCACATCCTGAACTCACCCACCTCTTTTCCAGAGCTGTTGCTAGATTGTTCCAGGTGCTGAAAAGCCTCTTCTTTCTCCAACACCTCTCCTGAAGATGGAGTAGTCACCATGGGAAGCAACAAACTTCTCTCAGGAGAGTGTTTTGGGGTAGGGGTCCAAGCCGACTCATTCGGTTTATGGAGCTCTGGATCCTTGTAATGGAGATCTGGGTCCTGCTGCTTCTCCAATGGCGCTGCAGGGCTGTCTCCTGCAGAGGTGTTGAAGCCCCCCTTGCTGCTAGGTAGCAGGCCCCAGTCAGTGTATTCAGCACTCCCTCTGGGTTCCTGCTTGCCACTGGGCTGCAAGAGGTCCTTCTCGAGCTCCCTGTAGTCATCTGAGTACTCAGACATCTCCTCTAGGCCCCTATCTTTGCCTAGAAAGGGCAAGTCCTTTCTAATATCCTCAGGTGAGTCTCCCCAGACCCCTGAGGGGGAACCCCTGTTCAGCATCATCTCCCCATAGTCCAGTAGCTGTGCAGGCCTCTGGACAGGCCTGTGTACAAAAGTGAGAAAAGACCTGATGGAGCCCATCTTCTTGGGTTCACAGTTCTCTTTGTGTGGGCAGCTTACCAGGTAGCAGCGGCCCTCAAACCACCAGGCTAGGTCGCAGCTGGACAGGTCACAGCAAGCGGCTGTGCAGTCCACCACAGGAAAGGTGTGAGACACCAGCATGATTCTGGTGGTTTCCAAGTTCGGTGAAATGACTGCATTGGAATACGTCCTCCCCTCACTGCACTGCTTACAGACACAACCTGTAAACGAAGCAGTCTTTAATGAGGGAGAGCGGCATCTCACATGGAAGAACTCAAGCTTACAAAAACCAGAAAGTGAGAGCCTTACTAAACCCTGGTCAGTCTGGCAAGCAAATAAACAACCAGCATATCCCATAGAAAGATCATCGCACGATCTTTTAGTCAATCCATCAAACCACCCATTCATACATTTATCCTCCTGCCCTCCACCCAGTCACTCACTCATTCATCCATCCATCTGTCCACCCATCCATCCACCTCTCCTTCTACCTTTCCATCCATCCACCCTTTCACTCACTCCCCCATCTGTCTATCCTTCTACTCTTTTACCTTCTCACCTATCTATCCATCTGTCCCACCCGGACACCCACTCACCGTCCATTGATTTCTCCACCTATCCATGCACAGCCTTCCATTAACCCATTCCCTCTCTCTTTTTTTTTGAGTTGGAGTCTCACTCCGTTGCCCAGACTTGAGTGCAGTGGCACGCTCCCGGCCACTGCCGCCTCCACCTGCTGGGCTCCGGCGATCCTTCCATCTCAGCCTTCCAAGTAGCTGGAACTACAGGCACGTGCTACCATGCCCAGCTAATTTTTTGATTTATTGCAGAGACGAGGTCTCGCCAATTGCCCAGGTAGGTCTCGAATCTGCAGGCTCAGGCAGTCCACTCACCTCAGCCTCCCAAAGTGCGGGATTACAGGCTGAGCCACCAAGCCTGGCCAACTCATTCCCTCTCTTTAATATAATTTCACTCCAGTTAATTAACAGAAACATTCTTTTCCATGTGTACATTGTTTTTGTATTATTTATAAAACTTTGCTCCTCACATAAAATTCAGTTATTCAGGTTTATGTTACAAAACAGCATCATGTCTTTGCTTCATTTCTGTTGTTGTTAACAGATTTTATTTTTAAAAAAAACCTCACAGGTCATTCTGATGATAGATCAGTTGACAGGGAAATATCAAAGGAGAGAAAAGCTTATTTTAATACATATCTATAACCAACCAGTTTCTAAAGAATGAACAATAAATACTTTCACTCACTAACTACAGCAGTTGTCAGAGTGCTGCTACACCAAGTGTCATCTGCGTAGTGCAGGTCCACGAATCCTGATACTATCCATGACAAAATAACAGAAACTGACACTTTTAGAAATGCTATGGCTATTTTTCATTATCTGAAATCCAAGTGCAAAATCCCTTTGCTCCTATTCTTGTTTGCTTTTTGGCATTTTACAAAAAAATCAGTCTGTGACAGATTGGAAACAAAAACAAATAGTCCTTTACCACTTCTAGTTTGAAAAGCCCTAGATTAAAGTTCTGCTGCAGAACTCAGAATGGCAAGAGCTATCTTTCCTAGGAAGGGCTCATTATTGACAATTTTTTAAATAATTGATTTTTGGGGGGCCAGACTCAGTGGCTCATCCTGTAATCCCAGCACTTTGGGAGGCTGAGGCGAGTGGATTGCCTGAGCCCACAGGTTCTAGACCAGCCTAGGCTACTTGGCAAGACCTTTTCTCTACAATAAATCAAAAAAATTAGCCAGGCATGGTAGCATGCACCTGTAGTTCCAACTACTTGAAAGACTGAGGTGGAAGGATCGCCGGAGCCCAGCAGGTCGACAGGATGACCATGAGAGTGCCACTGCACTCCAGCCTGGGCGACAGAGTGAGACTCCAACTCAAAAAATAATAACAATAATAATTGATTTTTTTTAAATATATGGAACTGTCAGATTTCTTTTAACTGGAAATAAGTGAAAATGGCTATGTACAGTATAGGAACCATCTTTTTGTTACCTTTATACACTATCACTGTTATAGATCACTCAATACTAAACACTGATTGCATAGCAAAGCCTAGTTAACCCAGTTTAATAGGAATTAGATATGATGGATATGCATTTTTCCCAAGGACTAGGCCAGCAACAAACTACTTTACTAATTGGAATTGGCATTTTCTTAAATGCAAATCTATTTTTTAAATTACCTTAATATTTTGGTCTGTTATTATCTAAAGAAAATCTTAATCTCAGATATGGAGACATAATAATACCCTTCAGCTGAATATAACAAAATAGCATCTCTAATCAAGGTCAAGCAATGATGAAGGGTGTAAAATATAGAGACAGGTCATTTCCAACTGCTAATGCTATTCTCAAAAACATTACATTTATTTTGAGAGATATCACTATGTCTCTGAGTGTTTTTTAAATGAAGATCCAAGCTTGAAATTTCTTTCAGATCAAAAGATCAGGATATGCTTTAGTTCTTTTAAGAAACCATTGAGTCCTCTCTTTTTGGACAATGTGATTCAGAGAAACATCATGCTTCATCTCTGGCACTGGCCACAAGAAAGTTCAAAAGCTAAGTTGGTTTTTTTTGTTTTTAAAGAGTCAACTTTTCAAACTGTGTTATAGGAACTATTTTAGAGAAAGGGCTGTGATCCTTATTACAAGGAGATAAGGAGACAATTATATGGCAGAAACCTCCAACTCAAAGCTTAGGGCAGTTTTCATTCCAGCTGGAGGTGGAGACAGAGACACACCTCTGGCATGTATCACCCCTTTGTTCTGAAAAAAAAAAAATCTCCTAAATGGAAGCTGTTTAGATATGCATACCTTAAGCAAAGATTTTAATGCTAAATAAAGAAGTTTGAGGTAATCATTCTTCCTTTGGTCCAAGTTGTCATACTTACTTCAGAATCTATTAGGCATATTCCAGAAAGCTCTTGAAGAACTACTACCAAAATCCTGGAGACCAGGGAACTTGTCACTCAAGTATGCATGTTCTACAAATCCTAACCAAATCTATGAACATAGTAGGCACTTGATCATTCTTGACAAATCAATAAAATTGTTAATTAGAATTTAACAAGGCTAAAGAAAATACAGAAGGAAGACAGGAAAATTTCAAATAATATTACTGAGACTCAAGAACTCAGGAATTGATATTTTGAATTAACGGAAAACATATAAGAAAAAGGCAAAAAGAAATGAAAAAGTGGGAATTTGAAAGGGAAAAATATAGGTCTCTAAACATTAATGACAACATTTAAAACATCAGTGGCAGTATTTCTCAGAGTACATGAAACATTAAATAAAGGAACATTTTGTCTTGCACACTAAGCAGTGATGAGTTTAATAAGATGGATGAATGGACAGGAGTAAGTTATCTATGAGGCATGACAAGGCTTTTCCAATGGCAACACTTTCTAAAGTGGCCCTCACATCATTTAAAAAAGTACTTCTCAAAACTGAGATGATTCTGAATCATCTCCAGATGATTCCTGATCCACAACCATAGGAGTTCTGACTCAAGAGTTCTGATTCAGTGGGGTGTGAGAAAATAAGTTTTAACAAGAGTCTCTCTCAGGTTATCCTTACTATGGCTTCACTACACTTTGACAAACTCTGTACATAAAAAAAATGTTTGATGGGCCAGGTACAATGGCTCACACCTATAATCCCAGTTACTTGGGAGCTCAAGGAGAGAGAGTTGCTTGAGGCCAGGAGTTCAAAACCAGCCTGAATGAGTCTTCATCTCTTAAAAGAAAAATTGTCTACCCTCAATCCTTGGTATATTCAAATGGGTTCAGCCCATCCAACCTTGCATGGATAGCCAGAGTGATGTTCACCAATGATGTTTTGCCATGGCTGTGTCCTGTATAAGCAAACTGAGTACAATGAAAATAAAGATGTATGATAAAAGAGTCTGATTTTTCCAGAAATATCTAGTATCCAAGTCTTTTAAATATACAAATATAATTTTTTCTTAGAATATATGAAATGTGATTTTATTTTCCCACAAAATAGTCATAATAATAAAAAAATTTAAATCCCTGTTCCTAGAAAACCACTCATGCATGAGGTCTGTCTTCCAAGCCTGTTACATGTAAAATAATTCTATTGAAAAGCAAACATATAGCACCTTCTCCTCAGGTTGATCTGAGTTGTTTAAGCTAAACAAGAAGCTCAGGTCTGACACTATTGTCTCCAGGATAGTGGTTCCCTACCTGTAATTGTCACCAGCAGCAGCAATGAAGAGAGCACACCCGTAGGGGGTGCCATTTTGCATCACACTGTGAGTGGCAGCAGGCTTCTGAGGCGGCCCTGGAGGGCATTTGGTGCAGGTTTCCTTTGTTTTTTGTTTTTTAGGAGTCAGATTTGGCCTCATGGACTTCAAAGGAAAAACAGAAAAGAGACAGGAAGAAAAGAATAGGTACATGTGGAAACATTCACAATTATTCCTATCATTTATTCATGTCCTGAATTACATCACAGGGCCATATACCAGAGAAGTTTGTCCAAATAGTAAGTACAGTTCCTAAGAAGAGGCAAAGAGTTTCAAGCTCGCTCCTCTTAGAAGCTGTGAAAACAAAGGAAGGCCAACCAAATGAGAAAAGCATAGATTATTTATTCAGAGCTTGTTATAGCAAGGGAGTCGGTCACCATCACTTGTGTTTAGGCAGAGACTCAAAGGCAGACAGAAGAGTTGGAAGACTTTGTAGGAGAAAAAGGGAAGGCTTCAGGTATGCCCCAGTTGGAGGTTTTTGGCATGGGAAAGCTGTAGGCAGCTAACTAGGAGTGGGACATCCTTGTGATTGGTAGGAGAGCATGTTTGGGTTTCTCTGGTTTGTCCTAAGTTGAAATAGGGGACAAAAATTAGGGAAGCTGTTAGTTATTAATCAAGTACTAGTCATTCAGAGTCAATTGCTACAGAAGTAATTGTTTAGCTTCCAGGATTGTTATTACAGAGAGCAATCTTTTTTCCTGCAAGTCAGACTTGTAGCCAGCTGTCTTCCTGGGATATTTATTGTACAAGGGGAAACCCAAAAAAGCCCAGAATTTATTTTAAAATTTTGTATTTATTCTTACATGCTTAAACTTCAGTTACCTTCAAAGTATTCTCTGCTTGATGCAATACTCCTATCAAGATGCTTTTGCCACTGCCCAAAACAGTTTCTGAACTCGTCAATTTTGATACCTTTTAGTACTTCTGTGTTTTTTGTTTTGCTTTGTTTTTCACCTCTTCCGCATCAGCAAAATGTTTCTGTTTGAGGACTTTTTTTCATCTGGGGAAGTAAAAAAAAAAGTCACTCAGAGTAAGATCAGGTGAATAGGGAGGGTGGGGCATGGGGGTCATACTATTTTTTGCCAAAAACTGCTGAATACTCAGTACAGTGTGGGCAGGTGCAGTTGTAAATCACCCATCATAAAATGGACACATGCATTGAAAGAATCTCCAAAAAAAAAATTTAACTAAGCCAAATGCAGCCTCTCACAAACAATGCTGTCTGGCACACTGATGCCAATGAGTTCCCAGAACACTTATCTAGTGGGGGAGGCCTGTACTACAAGGGACCCATCCTCCAAAAAAAAATTCCATTTTGGGGGGCCCCCCATCACATATAAGGGGTGGTTTCCTGGGAAGATTGTTGCAGGTTGTGGGTCAGAATTCTATTTTTATATATGGTCTGGCCATTGTCTGTTTTTATATTCAGTCTCTCAAAGCCCAAACCTATGAATTAATGATGGAATAAGTCGTACTATTATATGTCACCAATTCTAGCACATAAACATTTTCATATTTTACCATCTGATATTAGGATGTCTTACAATTGCTGGTCAAGTGCCAGGCAGGAAATAGATGTTATTATTCGTGCATGCACATCATCCATGCAAACCTGGTGTCAGTCTTGGATGAACATTCCAAAGGAAGAACACATGAAGCACTCTTTTCAGAAATGCTACATCTCCCAAAACGCATGATGGCACACAAGCTATATTGTGTGGAAAAGCCACAGATACCAATAACTGCACTGACAAGTAATTTGCAGGAAGGAAATTCAGAAATATCTTAATTTATGTCAATTATATCTTCCTTTTAAAATAAGCACAACAATGATTTATATTAAAAATCTGTCTAAATAAGCCTACCAGAAATCTCTTTCAATATGTATAAATATCTTAAGTGTTAAGAAAGGAATGTATCTTGGTTTAATTGACAGCATTTTTCTTCCTTAGTGATATTTAAAATAATGGTGCATCTTACAATAATTAGTGACTTCAATTCAATAAAGTATAGTAATATCAGCACTTCACTTTTGCCTGGCACTTTCTCATGTGATCATCACACCAATTCAGACAATATTCTAACTGCCACCTTAAAATTATTAAATTGAGGTTCAAAAAAGTCAACATGATCTCAGATACACAACAAAAGCTCCAGGGGGAAACACACAAGTTCATGTCCTAAAAACCGAGTAAGGGTTTCCTAACAAGTGTGACAATCCTGCCATGAGCTACAAGTTGATATGTTGTGGTAAACTAGATTTTAGTTCCAGTTCGCATCAGTCTCTCCCACCCACCCCTCATTCTTTCTCCATCCATGCATACACACAGACTTTTAAGAGAGAACAAGACTCTTCCCTGCCCATTTCCAGAAGCACTGCACTACATTTGGAAATGTGTAAGTGTACTAGGGATGAAAAAGAGAGGAAACATCCCCACCGAAGTCTCCTAGTGAGTCATTCAAGAATTATGTGACACCCTAGGGAAGACAGGAGGCAACTGCAAGGGCCAAAGAACCTACAAACAAAATCAAAAACATAATGTTCTCTGGAAAGAGCACTGGTCATGCTCTGGAAGAGGTGGGAGGAGGGGGCTTGTGAAAAGGGCTCCAAGATCCAAAGTAACTGAACAGAGTTAGACTAAGGGACCAAGAAAGAACCAGAGTAAATGTGAGCTAAGGTGAAGTCAGGAGACAGGAACAACACTTCTTCAGGTCAGGACAGCCGACAGGCCATCAAAACAACTGCTTCTAGAAGGTAAAATGGAGAGTGGAAACAGTAAGATTTCCATGAGATTAATTCCTAAAATCCCAGAGGAAAAACACCTTGTGGTGCAAACAGCTTGCCACCCCCAATCACTTCCTTTTCCTCCAGCAAGGAAAGTGTGGCTTGAGATGGGAAGTAGGCAGAAGGGAAGACTGGCCATCTCCCATCTGTAGCCAATGACCACTCCTTAACCAAAAGGCAAGAGAAGAACAGCTGGACCACCAGAAATGACATTAATTCAGCTGCCCAAGCTGCTGTGGTTCAGAGTAGCATCACACACTTCATCCACGGTAGTTCGTCAAAAATTTCATGAGTAAAAATTGGGCCTCCACCATAACCATGTGGTACCTTCAGGCAAATTAAGAAAAGGCACCTTTCAGAGCTGATACAGCTTCGAAGGCATGCCACTTGGCAAACACACTGTGGACCAAATTCCCAAACCCACGCTCCTTTGGCAAATGCCTTTGTGTAATGTACACACTGTACCTGGAAAAAAATTCATTGTCACTATCTCAGTGCAAGCTCCCAGTGCTCAGCATCCAAAGTATTTCCTACCCTCAATAATTTTAAGGTTCCTTTATTTGGAACACTAATACAAGCAAACAATGTATCTCCATTTCCTCAACATTAAAAGGCATATGGGGCAACCACTTCGGGCCCCATATGCCTGTTAAAAGCTCCCCGCTGTGGGAGCTTTTCTGTTCTCAATAAATCCTGCTTTCTCACCTTCCTGCTGTCCATGTCCCTCATTCTTGACAAGAACCATGAGACAAGAATCTTGACCCTGAAGAGATGCAACATGAAGAGCTGCAGAAGATCATCGGAGTCGAAAAGTCATGCACCCCAGAGGCTGGCTTGCCAGCCGACAGAGCCAGCTGAACCAGGAGAGCTGCCGGAGGAAGGTGAGACTCCGAGGCTGAGGCACCCGAGGGGCTAGGCTTGCCAGCCCACCAAACCAGCAACAGTCTCAGGGCTTGGTTTGCCAGCCTGTTAGAGCCAACACTCTGGGGGCTAGGCTTGGCAGCTCCCTCCCCGCCACCCAACACAACACTCGGGGCTTGGCTTGCCAGCCCATTAGAGCTGACCCTTGTGGGGCTAAGCTCACCAGCCCCTCCACAACCCTCTCTGGGACTTGGCTGGCTGACGCATTGAGCTCACCCTCTTGAAGCCCAGGCTGACCTGAAAAATCCACGTCAGTTTTGGCACCTGAACGTGGGGCTCAATGGAAGGGTCACTGGAATAGGCTTGTGGCTCCGTCACACTAAAGTGAAAGCCTGGAGTCTAGAAGAAGTTGCCTCAGCTGACCCAGAAGCGCATACAAAATCAAATTAAAGACTGTAAAAGATAGTACCACTACTAACTGCCTATGAATTTCCTCCTTATAGTTATACCTGCACTTGTTGCCTTTGTTTTCATTTTGATTTGTACAGTTAGACATCTCTGTCAAGGACCCCTTAATCCTGAGGGTCCATGGGATCATTTTCTTCTCTAGAAGTTTCCCTCAGGAACAAGCAAAATACCTACTCTATCTTGCTTCCTGTGTCTAATATCATTAGTCCTACCTTCTTCTAAGCACTGTCCATTACGTGGCTCAGCAGGGTAATTAGTCAAACATTAGATATCCTCACAGTGGAATGTGGAGGAACATGAGTGTTATTAAATGAGGAAGAACATGCGTATTATTAAATGAAACTTGTTTCCGTATTAAAACTTCCTCCCAAATAGAAGAGATTACAGGTTATAAAACAATAAAATCATTGACTCTTTACAAGAACAGGCAGTTTCAGAACCCAGTTGTTATCCTCTAGAGATTTCCAATATATGGACACAGATTTTTCCCTTAATAGCTCCTTTTGTTTTGCTTATGTATAGTTAACCTTCTTGTAAAATTTGTTTCTTCTCTAGAGGCCATCAAACTCCAAATGGTGATGCAGATGGAACATTATATGGAAGCTTCTTTCTACCGAGGTCCTTTAGATCACCCTCCAGAGGATCCCTTGCTGCCCTCCCCATGCAACACCCTTGATCAGCAGGAAGTAGCCAGATCAGTCATCATCCTCACTCCCTAACGGCAGTTAGGGTTACTACTCCAGAGGGGGGAATGAGACAGGAGATGGCTAGAGAAAGACTAGGTAGACAGACAGGAGAATCCTCTGCTAACAATGTAGTGAACTCCTGGCAGGCCTCTGCAAGCTTCTCAAGCTAGAGCTAAAGTCCTCAATGCTGGGATTGAAAAGCAATCAATCAGAACAGCAACAGCTCACAGTTAGTGCTAGCCAACCGGCTTGGACTTACGGCTATATAAACACCAGGTTTTCGGCCCCAAATGGGCAACTCCTTTGGGC